ATTAATACTATAATGGTCAAAGTTAACATTCCTAGAATTGGTACACTACAGGTTTATTATTTAATCTAACAACGGTTTACGTGATTGAGAACCCTGAACGGTCCTCTTGTCTTATTACATAACAAAAATCTGTCGTTTGGGTTTTTGGCCGAATAAGTGCTAATTGAATGACTACAGGATTAATTATTCTTTACATAAGAAAACTTAAGACTATGCATGGAAGTAATATTGAAAGGAATCACTACAACGCCAGTTCAAAGGTTTCATCTGCGTTACCGCCCATTTTTCGATAACTCGTTAATTGGTTTAATATATGGCATGGTAATTGACTCTCGGCATGTGATCGATCAAATCACTGACACTTTTCGGTCGTTTTCGTGTTCACGGAAAATTACGAACAGACAAGTTGTTGTCTTATATTCGTGCGAAGTAACCCGAATACACTCGTTACATTCCGCTGATGTACGCTGCCGAATAGAGTAATTCGTTCAATGTTGACTTTAGTCTAATTTTCCTATTTCTGTTTATTTCGATCTTAAAAACTGGAGAACATGGGTGGATCGTTTTCAATTTAATATTTACAGACAGTTAAGACGCCATTTCTTAAAAATTTAAGAATATGATTGTACAAAAAATATGTTTGGACCCCCTTTTATTAAATATGAATAATCCAAGTCATGCATGTATACCAGTCAATTAAAATATTCACAAACGTTTCTATTCTTTAAACTAATTCGTATAAATTAATTTGCTGTTAGGCAGATAGGGTCAAGCTCATTTTGTCTGTGTGTTTTTATTTTAGCTGTAGCGTGTTATATATTAACTGTATTAAAACACTTTTTAAAAATAGATATTTACGAACTTATTATCCCGATTTTAGTTGTCCAGTTTCAATAATGTAATCAATGAGGGGCCTCGGTGGCCGAGTGGTCTAAGTAGTTACTACTGTAATCACTAGCCAGTCAACACTGAGGTTGTGATTTCGAACCCCGCTCGTGCGGGTGTACTCGACTCCAATCTTAATTGACTAGGATTGTCAGTTTTCCTATCGAAGGTCGGTGGTTTTCTCCGGGCACTCCGGCTTCCTCCACCAATAAAAACTGGCCGCCACGAAATAGCCAAAAAACGGTGCTTAAAAGTGGCGTTAAAACACCAAAAATAAATAAACAAATAATGTAATCAATGACATTTATTACATATATACATAAATTTAAAATACTTGAAAGTAAATATCCTTTTTTAAATCTCGATAAACTTTGCACATTTCAACAGTAAAAAAATCTATGTCTTCATTTGTCTTCATTATTTTGTTAAACATCATGTGAAACCAGATCGCTTCGTCGGTATTACATGTTTTACTCGGGATCCGCTTTCAATCGGAAAATACTTTTAGATCAGTGTAAAACGAACGATAAAAAGCAAAAATATGCAAAAATAAATACAATTTTCCATGTTTAACTGCTGCAGTGTAAACAATTCTCGTCCGTTTTTCAAGTTTTTTACATCATTCGATTTCTTTTTGCAGGTAGAAGTTTTATATGATACAGCGCCACCTTGTTATTTAATAAACTAGGATTTCACACAGGTGCTTTATAATTACCGTACTCGATAAAATCACGTGAGTGATAAGAAATTCCAGATGCCATTTTACAACCGGGTATCACAGATAGTAACCAAAGGGGTCTTGCCGCTTAGACTATAATTGGATAAAATCATATGACTTTAGTACAGAGCTCTGCAGGCCATAAATACATGCTAATTAGTCGTTGTTATTCCTCTCAATATTACTTCCATGGACTATGTAAAGCTGTTACCTTATCTATTATTTATCAAAAGTATTAATATCCTTAAACAAATTGCCGTCTTTGTGAAAATATACTGACACTTGATTGTTACTTATAACACAAAAAGCTTTGTAAACAAAAATCTTTACATGTTAATAAAATTGAGACATTTATTTCTTTACACACTTTTTGATTAGATAATTGAATTTATTTATTTCACATAAAATTTATAAATAATTTGATAAGAAGTGATGTCCACTTTTGACCTTTCACAACACACTTGAAAAAAACACGGACTGCTCTCGAAAAAATACGGACATATAAAAATGAATTTACTATCCAAAATGTCCTTTCATTGCAAAAACAAGATTTTTTGTAAAGTGTCTGTATATCTAAGTATGTATAGAGTCCACGTACTGTTGACATTTGCATTGGTATGTGCATAGAAATGGCTTTAATCTATATTTTGGAATAAAGCATTGCAAGGCTAAATTAAACGTTTTTAAAACAAAATAATGTAGGATTGAAATTATTTTTTTATCACAAATACTAATTTAACTTCTATGCTCTTGTATATAAGGTTCTAGGTTCTTTTTGTACGACTTATCAGGAAATAACTTCTATGCTCTTGTATATAAGGTTCTAGCCTCTTTTTGTACGACGTACCAGGAAGGAAGTCTGTTTGTTTACATTTTTGATGATATTCACTCAAAAAAACATGGTCACGATCGAAAACACCCGATCAAATCACTTGAAAAATACGATCCCAGCCTGACACTATACCTATTGTGGTTCTCATCAATTAAACATTTTAAAGATTAATCAACTTTAGCATTATCTGAGAGATATGTTAAGTCATTTGTCTTGAAATATTGAACTGAGGACAGGAGACTCTCCCTTATTAAAGCATAATAAACAGTGCTAAAACCATTTTTAGACGCGGTGTGTGTATATAAGCATAATAACCTAACGAATCTCCTAATAATCTTCCATTTTGCTATTAGTAGCCCTGAGGGTAAGAAGAGATCAAAAATATTTTTACCATGTGTATTCTAAGAGGGGCGAATGATACCAAAGGGACATTCAAACTCATAAGTCGAAAATAAATGGACACAGCCATGGCTTAAAAAGAAAAAGACCAACAGATGAACAACAGTACACAAAACACAACATAAAAAACTAAAGATTGAGCAACACGAACCCCATCAAAAACTGGGGGTGATCTCATGTGCTCCTGAAGGGTAAGCAGATCCTGCTCCATATTATCTTGGTAAATTCCTTTGTTTTCTATATCAATTGCATAGTCTGAGGGTAGCAAATCCAAACCAAACAGATAATTTTCTGTGAAGAATCATTTTTGATTTAGATAGTGTGCTGTACTCATGATAGCATAATAAAGTCATTTTCAAAATGTGTAGATGAAAATGAAGGAATAGAAGAAGCACATATATAAAAGTCATCTGATAATAATTTAATTGTTTGTAATACGAATTGCATTAAGCCGGAACTGCGGCTTACTCTTCCGAAGGCACAGGAGTTTATCCCTATATTTTTTTGAAAGGGTTCAAGCGTGCTATTGTTTTTGCTCTATTTAGTGTGTGGTATATTTCAGCAAATTTTATTTGTTCCATATCCATGTAGTTTTGCGACCTTGTCTAAAAAATATCAATAATTTAGCCCTCGGTCAGGTATCAGAGATATTTAAAATTTATTTGTACCGACGGTTAATGAATTTGGTTGTGTCTTAGCTAGGGCTAGACAAGAAAACTTACATTGCACAAGGTCATGTTTTTCTCTGACTGTTTATGACACGTCTTTACACTTAATCCATTGGATGTTGGATGTGTACTGATTGATATTTTTGTCTTAGATACATGATTTGTTATGCACCTGCAACTGAAAGTTGGGGGGGGGGGGGGGGGGATATTGTTTTATCCCTCTCCGTCCATCCGTCCTTCAGTCTGTCCTTCCTTCCGTTCGTCCCATTATGGGTATATAGTTATTCCAGATAACTCCTCCTACAGTTTGAATGCTAGGATGTTTTAACTTTGCTGACTGTTTGTACTATTGCTGTTGCACCACTGTCCAAGGTAAGGGGAGGGTTTTGTGCCCGTCAAACATGTTTAACCCCGCCACATTCTGTATGTGCCTGTCTCAAATCAGGAGCCTGTAATTCAGTGGTTGTCGTTTGTTGCTGTATATCATATTTGTTTTTCGTTTATTATTTTGTCCATAGATCAGGCCTTTAGTTTTCTCGTTTGAATAGCTTTACATTTGTCATTTCGGGGACTTTTATAGCTGACTATGCGGTATGGACTTTGCTCTTTGTTGAAGGCCGTACGGTGACCTATAGTTTCTGTCTCATTTGGTCCATGTGAAGAGTTGTCTCATTGGCAATCATACCACATCTTCTTATTTTTATATTTACGCTATCATTTGTTTCATGACGTCTTAAAATACAGGATGTTGACTCACTAAATGGCTAGTGTACGACAAGATTTACATGATGGGTGTCTCTAGTGGATTAGGAACTGCTGATCCCTAATGAACATATATTCCATCTCTGGTTTTTGTGGGGTTCAGGTTGCTCAATTCTTATTTTCCTGACTGCTGTATATTTATTTTTTCATTTCTCCACCTTTTACCTAAAGGTTATAGTTTTCATCTTTATACTTTTTTGTAACTTTCAGTTACTATTATTTTAACGCAAAATTACCCGTTCTTACCAACCAAACCGCCTTTACCGTGTGAATTGAAAGAATCATCCCTTTCTTTCTTCATTTGTCGGACCATTGGGGTGTCGGACTATATTTTCGTTTGATAAGTTTTTTGTATAGAATCTTGTAATAAGCTTAAGTCCAAAATCCTTGAAAAGCAATGCTGCAGTGATTATAGTTAATTTAACATTACACAAGCAAAGTAGCCATATTTAACAAACGTAGATGAATTTTGGGTCTTTCGTCTTAAGTTTCTGGCAAGAACAAACTGCTACTTTATTCCGCATGAAATTGAAAGATTGAGTAATACATGTCAAACATGTTGAATTGAAAATCTGTCTTGCATGTATTGTTGGAATGACAGGCATACAGTGATATTCTTTTCTGATTTGCACGAATTTCTTTTTAATGCAGGAACTGGTATATTTGTTCAGAGTTGCCTCATGATTATGTATTTAAAATGCCTGCACAGTGTTGAACATTTTCATATTCATTTTAGGTAGTAGATTGCGTGAAATGAATATTATGGTTGGTCACACTTTAAAAAACATGCGGATATGCAGGAGATACAAAGGCCCGGCTAGTGATGACCAGCACTTAATTATGAAATGCTACTACGCTATAACAGGACGGTTTGTCAAGATTGCCTTAAAAGTCAAAGGATACTTCCATCTAAATGAAGTTAAGGTGTATGCGAAATGTTGAATCAACTTATTAAAGATTAAATCTGCTCTTTTTTGTTTTTGGTTTTATAAGAGAATGCATATATCATTCAATAAGGTCTAGATCACTAAGCTGCTGATAGAGCACCTGCTGATAAAGCACCATCAGCTGGCAATATGGCACCTTTTTGGTAAATTTGATTTGCCTCCCTTTTCACAGAATCTTAAGTTTTCAGAGAAAAATTAAAATATTGGATTGCTAAAAAGAAACATTGACGAGATGTGCGCTTCCACAACCATTTTTAAATCACACATACATCCACAAATGTATTTTTCTCAAAAAGATCTAATATACAACTCTTTTCTTCTCGTTCTTAACCTAATTTGAATTGTTTTGTCAGGATTTATTTGAATTAATATTTTGAAAATGTAAGTATTTTTCATTGGCTTTGTAGTATCTCCTTTAAATTTAAATATTATGTAAACTATAAGCTAAAAGACTAAAATGTAAATTTCGTTCTAATTATTTAAATTAAACAAATTTAAATTAGACAAATGATGATGCCTGCCCTGCCATATGCATGAATGAAGTTCTCGATGGGGTGCTTATATAATTATAGAATAACTAATCGAAGAATTCAAATAGAGAAAAATATTCAACGAGTGACCGAACAACACATTAATTCACGAATGCGCGTAGCGCATGAGTTAATTATCAGTGTTGTTCGGTCACGAGTTGAATATTTTTCGATATTTGAATTCTTTGATTAGTTATTCTTTTTATTACATTGGCAAATGGCTTTTTTAATGAAATTAATGTAGAAAATGTAAGGAACTATATCTTTTTTCTACGCATTCACAATTTGTTTTGATCCGACGTTATCGACGTCTTGACAACGCCTATTGTTGTATGACGTCAGAGAGTGAAATAACCACGTTTATTTCACATGTGAAATTATCGGTTTTTATTTAACTGGGAAATCAATGTAATTCATTGCTACCAATGTAATAATAGAGAATAATGGAAAAAGCTAGACTACAGAATGGACACAAAAAAAGGAATAAAAAATGATATATATATGATAAAAATAAAGAATATTATGTTAACTATAAGCTAAAAGACTAAAATGTAAATTTCGTTCTAAATATTTTTATATTACTAGACAAATAATGATGCCTGCCATATACATGAATGAAGGTCTGGATGGATGTTGATATAACATAGAATAAAGGACAAAGGCTACAGAATGAACAAAAAAATGAACAGAAAATGATATGATAAAAATAGAGAATAATGGGATGCTAAAATTTAAAGAATAGAGAATAATGGGGTACTAAAAAATATCGAATAGAAAAAACTGGGTAGCTAAAATATAACGAACATATAGATAGAGCAGGAACGTTTTTTTTTCATTTGAATTTATTGTCAAAAAAGAAATGCACAACGAAATAACTGTGGTCTCGCGCCAGTTAACTACAATTTTTCTTCGACTGCACTACTTACTACTTATCCCGTAATTATAATTCAAATTCAAAGCTTTGAGTTTCGGCCTCTTTTACTTATCTACTTTTGAACTATATTATATCATGATTTTAAGAAACGGTAATATAACAAAAAAGCTCTCCACACTTCGAATACCCATGTGCTTAAAAATCGCGTTCAAAATATAAATTCCACTGCCGCTAATCGAAATTTACCTTCAAAATATAACACATGACGCAATCATGACAATTGTGTTAAAGGAGGCAATGCAGCTAGATCTTTCAACAAAAACGCATGTGGACATCAACAAATATTCGCGTGCAATGCCAGAAAATGACAAAACTGCTCCAGATTATCTTCAGATAATACTGTTCAGTCATCAGTGAACGGATGAACCTTTCCTCTCTCCTTTTCGTGTGACATTACTTGAAAAACCCAAAACCTCATATATCTTGTAACATTAACAAAACCGAAATGTAGTATTCAATATGTAGGGCAAACTGGACGTGAATTTTTCAAACGAACACAAGAACATCTATACCGCTTCCGCAGACCTAAGAAATTCAAAAATTTAATTTACCAACATTTGGAAAAAAACAAACACAATATTAAATTTGTAAAATTCCAAACCGTCCTGAAACAACCAGGATGTAAGTATAGCAGTATATGCTCCTTCGACATGAGACTATGCAACATCGAAGTTTAGCTATGATCCCTATGACCTTGTACTTACAGGGGACCTCAAAATCGTTCAAGACCGAGAGGTAAACTTTCTGAAAAAGGACCAAAATATTGTCCACCTTCGAAAATAATTGGGAAGAGTGTCGTCAGGTTATCAAAGATGTTCTTTCATTCTTCCATTCCTATTGTAAAAAGTGGTGTAAACGGGAGAAATCTGACAAAAAGTCACTTGATTCCTATTTAATTAAATAGAAATAAGAAGATGTGGTATGAGTGCCAATGAGACAACTCTCCATCCAAGTCATAATGTGTAAAAAATAAACAATTATAGGTCAAAGTACGGCCTTCAACACGGAGCCTTGGCTCACACCAAACAGCAACCTATAAAGGGTTCCAAAATGACTAGTGTAAAATGTCTGAATATTGTTGATAATCGCATATCACATTTCGAAAATAATTTAGAAATAAATAAAAGAACAATACGTCCTTGTCTTGGTGGTGGTATGTCGTAAATACTATACGGAAGTCCTTAAGAATTAAATTATACATTCAACTGCATTCAAGGCCGTACGCTCCACAGAGAGCAATATACTAAATAATCATGTCACTACCACAGCTCAGCTTAAGGCCTCCTCTGAACAGTTGAAGGTCCTCACTATGCATTAGTTACCTAAACTATCCGTCAAATATCGTTTCATCTCCGCCTCCAGTAAGTTTATTACTAATCTTTCACGTCTTTTAACGAGTTCCTTAACTACTATCAAAGAAATTATCATTAATTTTTGTAATAAAACATATGAAAAGAGTGGAACTATAACCATTTTTGGAGTGTAAAAAAGTCTTTGGATGTTTTTAGATAAATTACGTGCTTTTGATGGTAATTTTGATTCCATTGACAGTGTTGACTTTTCAACACTTTATACTACACTTCCACACATTCTTATCAAACAAAAGTTTTCCTATATAATTAAATGTTCGTTTAATAAATCTGTTTGCAAATTTATTTGCTGTAACACATAAAAAGCCTTTTTTCTCACATGAGACTGGAGGTGTGATGAGATGATTAAACAATAAATTTTCTCCTTGACAACATTTATGTACGTTTCGGCATTAAAGTTTATCGACAGATTGTATGTATTCCCATGGGCACCTATTGATCCCCTTTAATAACAGACTTGTTTCTATACTGTTATAAATCACAGTTTATGGCTAAACTCAGTAAAGACCCGTCTAAATTCCATTTAAGGGCATCCGATACAGTTTCTCGATATAATGTCATTTTTATAATTTTGAAATATGTTGTAGGCCTTGGCGAGTTATAAAAAAAAAAACACCAAATAAAAGATAGGTCAACAAGCTTGTTTTCGAGAAAATTGAGGCTGAAAGTTGGGGATTTGTGCAATTTTGTAAAAAAGTTAGGCAATGATATAAAAATTGGAGTAGATAATCTTCGTCGTAAATTAATAAGATTGGGTTCAATCTGAAGCTGTGATAAGTGACAATAAGGAACAAATAAATTCCTACAAGAATGACAATATAATTATTAAAGCCTTGCTTGACATTGCGGACAAGATGTTCAAAGTGTCATATTTTTTAACCTAAAAATATGGAAATCGAGTGTTTCTGAAAATGTCATTTTTCTCATTTTTCTACATTAACTGCATTTTGTCATGCTTTCTCCAAATATCAGATAAAAAATATATGTCACCGTGTTGGATTCGAAGATAAATCGCGATTTATCCTAAAAATTACGTCCCCCCTTGGTAACCTCAATGTTAGCGCGAAAACGCACGACGTCGCTGGCAGAGAATTTTGACGTCTCCCGCCAATTATCTGCAAGTGTTCGGCGACATTTTTCAGATGTATAAATATTGCTTAGATAAGGCTACCCATAAATCGGTAATATTGTTTTCGGGAAAAAAATCATGTGTATCATAAATACCTCTATCGTTTGTGATCAAAGTGAGAAACATCTCAAGCATAGTTATTGCGGACTGATGATATTTTTTTTTACGGCTTAATTTAAAGACTCGCGGCAATTTAGAACTTGACATGCAGGTACCGTACACACTCGTGTATTATTTTAGACCATATGTTGACACCTAGGTGGTTTTTGTTTATTTTAGTTGGTGGGCTGCTGTTTCATTAACATACCCCTTAAAATCCTTTTATTCACATTTTAATCTCTTTTTTAAGAATTTCACATTTATTCATAAAATCAAACTGTTATTCGGGTCAATGATTACAGTTGAAGAAAACTGTTTTTAACCAGTTTTTAAAGTTCACTTGTATATACTTATTTCCATTGGATCTCAGCACAAAGGTTACTCACATGATGTCTTTTCCTGCAAACGGAACTTGACAGAAAACAAAAAAAAATCTTAAGTAGCAGAATCTTCAATTTGTTAAAGGAGGCTTTTACCAGACAGAGAAACTATACAATTATTTTGATTAAGGTGTATAATGATTATTTCTCTTTACTTTGAGGGGTGGAAGGGCCATATTCAGGAATTTGGGATTGATATGTCTAATATTTGACGGAGTTCAAGAACAGCAAGTTAAATTGACAGGAAGTCGAGATTTATTTATATCGTGATGCGGAAACTTATTATTTTCATTGGAAATCGGATTAGTGAATTTCTTATCGGGAATTCGGGATGACATCCTCCTACTCTTTCTAGACTTGGATTTAGGGGGCAGGGGTCCGGGTAATCCTTAAGGATTATATATGATATATGATAAATGCATAGACTTTTTAAAAATATCACTCCAAACGATGAATTTCTATAGTGCCCTCTCTTAAAAATCCTGGATCCGCATCTCAGTACTGTTTTAATCATTTTGGTGTTCAGGAGAATTAATAAGTGATTACAAAAATTTGAACAACCATTTTTCCATTATAATG